CTTCCACTCTTGCATCTCTTCTGGTGCAGGTGGTTCGCTTGGAAACAAGTCTTCCATTGCTTCTGCTGCTTCCTTTTCCACTTGCTCCATTGTCTTCTTCTTGTCACTCTTCTCTGCGTGAACCGCCATCTCCACGTCTGCTGCTTCCACTTCATTCCCTTGCTCTTTCTTCTTCTTCTTTGAAGATGTTCTCTCATAATCACCATACTCTTCAATTCCCAGAGACTTTCTCTCCAAGATCGTGATGATCACCGAGTTCTCTTCAACTGCATCTATCGCAATCTCTTCTCGGTCTTCCCACTTCTTAGCGCACTCCACAAACTCCAGTTCGCTCCATACGATGCTGTCACCATCGTACCTCGATACCAAAGTAGTTCTGAACTTGAATGCTTTCACATCATCATAAGTGGGGTCATAGGTTACATACTTGTCATAATCGATCCTTGCTGGCTTCCCATCTGACATGAAAAACCATCCTTCATGATACTTCATCTTCTCGAAATCATCTTCCATCTGCTTGATCAGCGTAAGCTTCCTCACTTTTGATTCATCACTTTCAACCTTCACTTGTGCTCTGTAGATCTTGAGGTCCGTCACTGTTGAGTTTCTTGCAAACCTCACTGGCACCCTTGCTGAACCTTTCTTCAGGTAAGCATTGAACTGGTCTAGAGGATCAAGTCCCCATCCGACTTTCCACAACTTGCCTACTGCAAATAGTGGTTGTGTTACATTTCCGAACACAGCTGAATCTCTTACCTTTATCACTCTTCCATCTGTTCTTTGGAATTCGAACGTGATGTTCGCTCTTGTTTCAGTGGTCCTTATCCTGTTGCCTTGAGCATCTTGAATGACCATTCTCAAAGCTGGGAACTCAACTGTTCCTAAATCTTCACTGTAGTAGCATAGCGGAAGTACATGACAATCCGCTCCACTGTCTAGTACAACTTCAACGAGTTCTGCATAGCTTGATCTGATAGCTCTTACTCGATGCACTTCTGGTTCTTCATTTTGAACGCTTCTGAAAAGTCTTTCTTGTTCTCTTGCCTGCTTGGCATTCTGCTTGTCCACTTGTAGATCTTCATACCACTTGTGAAGTTCATCCTTCTCATAATCTTCTTCATCACTTTCATCGACCATGCTTGACATGAAGATAACTGTGTTAACCTTCACTGTTCTTGCGGCATAGTCCATCACCATCTCTTCGAACATTCCTACAAGGTCGACGTACTCTTCTTCATCGTCGAACACTTCTTCAATCACTGGCATAGGCGTTGTCAACAACCTACGCACTTGCTCATTTCCTTTTGCTCCTTGTGGTGGTCTTGCCTGTGACTGTGTAGAAGAACTTGGTTGCTCTTCATACCATTCTTCCTCGCCTGTCTCTTGGACATTGCGAACTTTGCCTCTTCCTTTCCCTTTTCCTTTCGGTGGCGACCAACACTCCGAAGAGTAATGTCCTGTCTTACCACAATTGAAACACACAGGTTCGTTTTGTCCACCTTTTCCTTTTCCTTTGTCACTCTCGTAGCCTTTTCCTTCAGCCTGCCTGATGCTTTTTCCTCCTTTCTTTCCATATCCTTTTCCTTTTCCAAAACCTTTTCCTTTTCCTTTTGTCGGGAGGCGGCTGAGCGTCCGCGGCCCGTGGGCCTTCGTCGTGCACCGAATTAACCGTGCATTGCACGGTCATCCTCCTTTGGAGGGCATCGCCCGTGGGCGGAAGAGGCTACAGCCTACGGGAGAGATGCTCATCCCAGATGTGCAAAGGAGTGCAAGCACGTCCTGGGGAGTGTGAACACGTCCCCGCCCTGAGCTACGGCTCTACGGCAAAACTGACAGGGCAGCACATCGAGGAGTGAAGCACGTCCTCATGCCAGGAGTGAAGCACGTCCTGAGGGAGTCGAACCATCCCATACCTCTAGCCCTCGGGGGGTCCCCTGAAAGAGGCGAGGTATTCTGCGACGGCCAGCACGTGGGCCGCCGTCATGAGGTGTGCTTGCATATGTTCCGGGCTCGGTGCCCGCACGCGGCACGGGATGCACCAGAGCATATCCACACTCACCACTGAGGGGGTGCTGTCCTGATGCAGCTCAACCCCCTCGGCTGCGGTGGCGTACAGCCTGGCCGTGGTGGATGGAACCCGCATGCACACGGGGTCACCCGGCGGTTGCATGTCCTGGCACTGGCAGCCTTATGACCTGCAGCTGCCCTCCTTCCCAGAACTTATGCAGGCCGGCTGCCGAGCTACCGCTACCTGGGGCTCTAACCGGCTTAGGGGAAAGGTGAGGCTGAGGGGAGGTCCTGGGCAGAGGTTGCTGAGGGCTCGCTGTGGCTTCGGGAGGGGACGTGTTCGGGGCGTGTCCCGGTTTCGAGCTTCGAGCCTGAAACAGCTGCCGGAGTTTGGGTTGGGCTTCGTGCTGCGCTTTGAGGGAGTGAGGAGCCTAGCATACTCGCGGCAATCTGCCCCTTCTTCAAACGCGTAGGCACACACTGGCTACACAGGGTCTTGGAGGGTTTAGAGTGCCCTGGCCTAAGCTGCGCGCCACACTTTTTGCACATCCACCTGTCGCCTAGGTTGTGCATGTCGTGTGACCCATGCACTTCCAGCTCAGCTGGAATGGGGCTCTCCCTGTGCCGACAGGGGTGGGCGGCTATGCGGTCGAAACGCCACAAGGGCATGAGCTGCTTTATGTACAGCCCGCACACCAAGCACGCCGCGGAGGCGATGGCAGTGGGGTGGGCCTCCCACGTGTGCCCGCCGGTGCCCTCTTTAATGAGGGCCTCGATCCGTTGGCGTTTGTTCTCCCCTCCATCTGCGGCTGGTCTGGGCCGATGGCGCGGGGGCTGTGTTGCAGGGGTCGCTGGCTCGCTCACGCCCTTGGGGGTATGCTTCTTCCCCTTTTTGCGTTTGGGTGTTCCCTCCTGGGTCAAGTCCCAGGGTGGCTGCTCCTTGGAGGTCAGCAGCACGGAAGCCCTGTGCTGCAAGAAGACCGTCACCTCACGCACTAGGTCGTCGATCTCGTCTGGACACCATGGGCCCACTTGGGCCGCGTCGTTTATCTGCTGTCTCCCGCGGAGCTGGGAGGCTTTGGCCGGAAAGAGGCCCCTGGTCCAGAGACTCTCGAAGGGGTACTTCTCCCTGAGCCGTGCCCAGTTGGCCGGTGCGGGTGGGGCGCGGCCCTTCCACCACAAGCACTCCTGGGCAATGTGCAGGGGGGTGAGCTCAACCCTGCACAACGGGCACTGCTCACCGGGCCGGATCAACCGGGATCGCATGGCCCCCTGGTGAACCATACGGAGGGCCCCTGCGCGGGCGTTGCTAGTCCTGCCCTTGGTGAGGAGGCGTGGGACCGTGTGGTCGATGGCCTCGTGCCGCCTACGGTCGGTCAGGGCCATAAGGCACGCCTTTATAGGTTGGTGAGCCAGGGGGTCCAGGGGGTTGAAAGCAACCTGGTGCTATCCCACTGGCTGGCCAGCCAGTGTGGCCGGGCATAGGTCCGCCGAGAAGAGCCATTGGTGAGGGGAGGAGGCCTCGACCCTCAGTTCGAGCAGGTAGCCGATCATGGCGCCCACCGGTCCACAAATGATCTTCCACCGGTCCTTCCGCTGGAGCTGCTCCCAGAGGGAACGCCACGTACGCTCCAACTGCTCGCGGTCCGGCAGCACAAAGGACTTTGCCAAGGGCCGCCCATGGTGGGCCACCAAGCTCAAGCGCAACTTCCACACTGCCCATCATCACCCACCTGGACACCTGCGCGGCCTGAAAGCGAATGCTCTGCATGACCTTGGGCGACACCCCTTGGGACTGGTGCCCCCAGTTTCCCGACGCCATGACGCTCATGGAAAAGAGCCGGGATCGGACCCGGAGGGCCGGCAAGCGGAGCGACTGGAGCTTCGCAAAGCGTCGGTTGGCCTTCAAGCGACGCACTGCCGACTGGAAAGTGGTCCGGCGCCGCCCGGCTGCGGTTTCCATGCCAAGGTCCTTGGTGCCTTCCCCAGTTTACGGCGGAGTGCGCGTTCCGCCTCTGGCGAACTAGCCAGGAAGTGTGTCTTGGAGGCAGACACCTCGTTGCCCTCCGCCTCCAACCATCGTGAAGACGGCGAAAGAGGGTGACAATCCCGGCGGCGGCACGCTCAGGGGTTTTTTGGACGACATCGGCCGAGACGTCGTCCACCCAACACCCTACGTAATCCGCCAGGGAGCCGGCGCACGCAGCCCTGATGGGCTTTCCTATATCGATAGCTTCGATAGGAGAGGAGCTAGCGGACAGCCCGCTACTATTCCTCTCGCCGCGAAAACGCATGGTGATGCGACAGAGTCGGCAGTCACGATGCGACCGCCACGATAGGCTTGCATCCCTAAGTTGAGAAGAAGCGGCGGGAAGCCCCAATGGGCTGCTTCTTCGCACAACTTTTCGTGGCTGACGCGTTCATAAAAGGTACTTAAATCGAAGAAAATGGTGCACCGATGCACCTTGTCGATCCGACAAGCCTCGTAGAGGAACGCGCGCCGCAGGGATGCATCGTGCGTGCTGCGGGATGGCAGGGCCGAATCCCACCAGAGGGATGCCCGGTTGGCCTCGATCCATGAGCTTGCAAGCTCCCAACGGCACTTTATGCCTAACTTCAGGAACGTGGACATGAGGCCGATTGGCCTCTCCACCTTCTCGTTTTTAGGGAGCATTACGTACTGAGTGAAAGAGGCCTGATGAGGAAGGACGCCTTCCAACTCCACCTCTCTCCACAGGTCGGCGAGGGTATGAACCTCCTCGATGGAGAGGGATTTCAGGAAGGACACATCCCATCCATCCAGCCCGGGGGCTTTGCACGGCATCGAGCGGATGTACCGATACATCTGATGCCCTGTGACCGCGGGAAGCAGCCTGGCTTGCTCCACCGCCTTCTGGCGAAGCTCCAGAAAAGAGGGGGCGGGTCTTCCCCGGGCTTGCCACAGAGTGGCCCAGTACTTGAGCCGCTCGTAAGGCCGGGACTCAGCTGAGACCTCAGTGAAGGGTCTCGTGACATTGGTCTCAGCTTTGGAGAGGCAGCGAAAGAGCACGACGGGTGCCAATCACGAGCCATTCGGCCACCGCGTCGGTCTCTGCCTTCCGGGCCCGTTGCTGCTCCTCGTCGCGGAGCTGTCGGACCACTGCAAGGGTTGAAGGCCGGCCCTCTTCCGCCGAGCCAAGGGCGCAGAGGAAGTCTTTGGGAGAGGATGCCTCAATCCCCTGCGCCTTAAGGTGGAGGGCAGTTGCCTCCACCGCATCGGGAGGCATATTGCCCACCAACGCCTCAATTCGCCGAAGGTGTCTCTTCGGGTGTTCCCAGAAGGAGGCCATTCGGCTCCAGAAAGCAGCGACGTGGCCCCTCCACGGGTAGGACCAGTCCTGCTGCATGAGGGGCTTGTGCTGGAGGGGGTTGTTGGTGCCGCGCCCTCCTTCGGTGGTGTAGTGACATGCCGCCATCCCAGAAGTGATGCCCGCGAAGCGGCAGGTCAGGGGGTCCGAACGGATAGGTTTGGCCCCGATCATCCCAAGACCGGGAGCCACCCATGCCGGGTCGGCGGGAGCCGCCTCATCCCGCAAGGCCCCTTGGTAACCGGTGAGCTGAGGCAGCGCCACCAGTCTGCTGGACGGTGAGGGTGAAGGAAACCGCGGCGTCACCGTCTTAACGCTTGTCAAGGAAGCCAGCGGCCGAGCTAACAGGGCGTAGTCGAGGGTATTGCCCGTGTTGATAGTCGGCCCATCCGGTGCAAGAAGGGCGCCCCCCACTGTCTCGGCCCACGATGTGCCCAGAAACTCGGTGGAGGAGCGTTCCAGTCCCCAACCACGATCCAATTGCGGTGCTCCCGCAGCACCGGCCTGAGGGCCGCGAGGACAGCAGGGTTGCATCCTGCGTGGATTCCCACTGCGCTTTGGACGTACACGCAGACGACCATGAGGGTCCATCGCAGGCGCGGCAGGGCGATCGCCACGTAGCCGCATCCCTCCTCCGTGATCATGCCCCCGCAGGCTTGACCCTGCATATGAGAGGGAACCAAAAGGCCGATGCCACCACGAGTGGGATAAGGCCGGTCGCCCTTGGGCGGCGTAAAGAGGTGGAAGCCGCACTTGGATGCCTCGATGCGTAGCTGGTTGAGGCCCTCGGCGTTGAGGTGCAACTCCTGCAATGCTAGGATTCCTTTCGTGGCCGGGTGCCAGGTGAGCAGCTCCTTCTTCCAGGAGGTCACGTTGGCGCTGGTGATGTGGATGGGGTCGGCAGGGGAAGTGGCAAAAGCGGCCGCGAAAGGGGGGTCCAGGAGGCCATCGAGGAGATCCCAGTCGAGACGGTAAGCGAGGCTGCCTTCCGGTTCCATCTCAACAGCTTCGCCGAAAGCCAAGATAGCCTCTTCGGCATCCTCGAGGTTCTCTGCCGCACTGCAGGCGAGGGCGAGCCGCTCCGCAATGGGCTGCATCGGAGAGGGCCTTGCAGACGCTGCAGGGCGACGTTTTCGGGGTCCTCCCCTTGGTGTGGGATTGAGATTGAGGGCCCTTTGAGACCTCAGGTCCTCCGGGGAGACCCGCCCCGTGTGCGGCTGCACCGGGGGCTTCGGAACTCTCGGTGGCTGAAATCCCTCCCTCGCCCGTGAGGGGTGTGTCCACTGGGACATTAGAGACGCTCCCCGTCGGACAGAGGGTCGAGGGGTGAGGTTCCTTGGGCCTAAGGGCCACTCCTGAGCAGTGCAAGCAGCCCGTGAGGTAGTCGCTGATTTCCAGACAGGGACCGTTGCACAACGGGCAAGGTTTGAGGCACGACGCCTCGTGGGCCGCATTTGCCCTAGAGCCCTGGTCCCATCCTCGGCGGCGAGACTGCTGGGCCTGTCTGAAGCCAGAGCTCCGGAAACCCTTCTGTGCTGCCCCGTGGCCTTGTGGCCGGATTCGGCCACCATGGCATAGGCTGGGGGCTGAGGTTGCTTGAGAACCAGGAGTGGGACCTGCGAATCCGGCGTGCCTGGTGAGCGTGACGGCTGCGGCGGTTGCCGAAGTGCTGTGGTCCGCGCCTGCATCCGGGAAGCCGGTTTGGGCGAAAACCTGTCCGGGGAGTGGTGTCCACAATCCCCTTGTCCGACTCTGAGGCCTGGGAGGGTGACCACACCTCCGAGTCGGTTAAAAACTGCTGTGGCGGAGCCACGCAAAACGATGAAAGAAAGAACCTGGGGCCACTGACACAGCTATCCACTGAGGGCGGGGCTCCCTGTTGTCGTTTGCAAAACTGGCGGCTACGACGTGCCGGAAGGACAAAATCGTAAGGAGTGTTTTGGCCTCGGCGGGTGCTGGAGTGGGTAAACCACTTCCACTCCCTGGTCCGCCATGGAGGCTCACTCCCTACTCTGTGACCTGCTTGGTGTTCTCCTCCTCGCCGGCCAGGGTCTCCCCGTTCTTCGGGGGAGTGCGGCTCCGCTGGCGGCCGCCTGTCCCGTCCCCCTTGGGCTGGCCTACCGGGCCTGCGGGTGCGGCCGGCAGGGGCAGGGGGTTGGCACCCTGCTGGGTTGTTGGCTGCGTGCCTTGCAAGCCAAGGTGGAAAGCAGGCAGCCCCGGAGGCGCACCCACATCGGGCACCTTCCTCTTCTGGGCTTTGGCGCGGTAGTCGGCCAACTTCTCCTGCTGCTCGTCAGAGAGGGTCAAGCCCAGGATGGTGACCAGTTCGTCCACATCCATTGGCTCAGGAGTGACAGGCACGTCCTGTACCCCGGTAGGGGTGCCCACAGCCTTTGATCTTCTCCGTTGTCTCCTGGAGCTCCTGCAGCTGCAGGCGGAGGGATTCCTTCGCCTCCTCTATGCTCTCCAGTAGCTTGATCTTCTTGTGGATCAGCACGCGGAGGCGGGAGCTGGCCTTGGTTAGGTCCTTGTTGGACTGCATGGCCTTTTCTCCTGGGGACGGCTCCGGGCCCGTGGTTGCCTCAACCAGTGCAGTGCGGATGTCCTCCGGCAGCTCATCCTGGCGCTGTACCAAAAGGCTCAGGAGAGGGTCGGTCTGGGACTCGACCGCCTCCTTCTGCTTAGGAGGTCCTTTCCATCCCGCTTGCGTGAGGCGCGCACGCGCATCCTCCGGGATTTGATCCCAGATTGTCGTGACGGCCCGCTTCAAGCGGCGTTCCTCTTCGCGCCGCTCCTTCTTGTCGGCGCCGCGCTGAGGAGAAGGAGAGGGGGTCTTCGGTGGCCGCGGGCTGCCGTTCTGCTTGAGAGCAGGTGCCGGCCACTTCTTGCCGCACTGGCAGTAAGGGCTACTATGCACCTTGTCTGCCCACGTCCACGCCCCGCACTTGCACACGAGGTACTGGCGCTTCTGGCCCATGGCTCAGGAGTGATTGCTCACTTCCTTGCTGCCTTCTGGCCGGTCAAGGCGGAGGGAAACCCTATCCGCTGCGGCCTCACGAAAAGCAAGGGGTGGAAGCCACTCCCAAGCCTGGGCACTATGGCTCAAGAGGAGGCTAAAGCTGGGATTATGAGGGCCTCGTACCTGGTCGCACAGCCGGTTGAGAACCCCAAGCCCGTTCACAAAGCACTCACTACGCCACAAAATGTGGCACTCGAGCCGAAAACTTGAGCCAAAATGGCTACGGATTCCTTTTCCTTTTGCTTTTCCTCTACCACCTTTTCCTCTTCCATATCCTTTGCCCTTTCCTTTGTCTTTTCCTTTTCCGTAAGGGCTTCCTTTTCCTCCTTTGTCACCTTTACCTTTTCCATCTCCTTTACCTTTCCTCATGTGCAATCTATCGAGTTCCATTGGTATTGGTCCTTGGTAAGTCTTGTTGCTTGAGTGCGACGTTGGGTCTGGAACACTCAACGATCCTAAGATATTCTCAGCTGACCATGTCTGATTGCTTCTTTCATATTGTAGCAGCTTTGTCCTTAACTCTTCATACGTGGTCTTATCAGTGATATCAACCATCACATGCTGCTTGAGGTGCTGCGGTATTCCTTTCAGCAGTGTACCGATCTTCAAGTTGTCGTCATACTTCTGGCCTGAGAGCTTTTCGTACTCTGCTGTGAGCTTTTCGTATGTCAGGACGTAGTCCATCAACGATGCTCCTTTGCTCATGGCTGGGAATCCAACCGATGCCTGAGCCATTGCTAGACTCCTTGAACGAGATGTCGGCTCTAATTCAGCCGTAAGCTTTCTCCACACTTCAAATCCATTCATCCCGCTTACACTTTTCAGCACTTTCAGAGGTCTGTTCTTCAAGTAACTGCTTAACACTGAGTAAAGCTTTGTTCCTCTGTTCACTCTCCCTTGATCATTGTTGAAGAATGCATTTGTCACATCTACTCCTATCGCTTCCGTTTCTTCTTCTGCTGACTTCAGGTCCTTCAGGAATTCTTGGTCCATGAACGCTAAGAAGTTCTTGAACGTAAATGACCAGTCACTCCATTGTGACACTTCTTCTTCAATCGTAGCTGGATTAAACGATTCCGGTGGCTTGAGGATCTTACCTCCAGTATCAAAACTTACTGAAGCTGGCTGGCCTCCCGAAGGGGCTGCCTGACTCATTCGAGTCGGTGATGCTTGAGCTTTTGCCAATGCATGCAGTGCTGTTGTCAACTGCTGTTGCTGCACAGCTGTTCCTTGTGCAACTCTTGCCATAGCTTCTGTAGCTTGGCCTAACGTATTCATCAGCGCTTCCAACCTTGCCTGTTGGGGGTTCGGCTGGTGCTGTGCTTGTTGAGCTTGTTGTTGCTCTTGCATCTTTTCAACACTTTGGCAGGTCCTTGTATACCTGGCCCAAGGTCTTCACTTTCACGCTTTCTCCGACTTTGCAAGGTGCTCTTGGCTTAGCCGTAACTCCTTGCTGTTCTCCGACAGGATGCTCTTGGTAAACCGTAACTTCCTGTTCAACACTTTTCACCTTTTCCAGCTCGTGGCTGGCTTCCCTGGATCTTTGCTTGATCAGCTGCTGGCCTTTGCCAACAGCTCCGCTACCATGAAAGTTTAAACCCTTAAACCAGTATCCTTCACTTAGCACGGCGCGAGCTTCGGATTCTTTTCTCACTACTCGCTCTGCTGTCAGGCTGTCTTGAGCCTACGTTTGACCTACGGAGATACGCAGTGAAACTTGCGCTAAATCGGGCATGAGGGAAAATTGAACATTCTGTTACCTTGCCAACTTTATGTAGGAACACTAGCCATGCCGCCGACCAATCATCTGGGACCCACGCGTGATCCTCTCGCCAGCCTGAGAAAGCCTTATCTTCCATGAACTCAGCAACTGGAGAAGAGGCCAGCTTCCAGAAGGCATGTGGGGCACAATGGGGCGGGGCAGCCTTGCTCGCCTGAAGATCTCGTAGAGCTTGCTCAACGTCCTGCTGCAGCACGTTGTAGCTGGAAGCCTGTCCCGAACGAAGTAGCGACCCCGGTGCGCCATTCACCGATCGCCAAAAATCCTGTAGGGCACGGGCTTCCTCGGCCGGAGTAAACAGTTTGCCCTCCTTGGACCAATGACATTTTGCGAAGAAAAGTAATTGTCTTTCTCTTGATGCATTGTGATTGAGAGACAACGCATCGTCTCATTTGTAAAGTCGCAGCTGCGCTCGTTTTCGTGCTTGTTTAGGCGCCACTCTCCGAATGAGATCAAAGAGCGCCTGACTGCAACCTGAGCGTGTGTGAGCGTCCGCCTCCTGAAGCAGCTGTGCCAACCTGGTCCGGCGTAGTTGTCGAGAGTGCTTCTGAACCATTCTGTGCATTTTCAGGAAACGAACCCTATGCTTCCAAGCCTGCACCATCGAACGGAGTCGCCCCATACGAGAACGATTGGCCTCCTCCTCCTCGAAGGACCTGCGCATGAGTCGATAATGTTGCCACTGTCCTTGATGCTGCCAATGTGTTGCGCTCCAGTCCAGGGCGGCGGCAAGCTGGGTGGTCGTTGTACATGAAAGACCTTTCTCCCGACCTCCAGCAGCAGGGCGTTCAAATTGTTGGGCTCATATTTATCAGCAGCTTGCAACGCGATGGCAACCTGCTCCGTGTAGCGCTCGGCCAACTGTGGCTGTTCCTTGATGGCCTGTGATAGGAGGCGGCAGCGCCATCGAGGCCATTCAAGCTTCTGCTGCGGTTTCTGAGTCCTGAACCGTCGTATAGAAAATCGTGACCATACCGGGAGATGCCTTCCACCTTTACGCCAGCGCGCAACCTGCCAGTCACGCAGAAGTCCAGACTTGTAATCACTGTGCTTGTTCTGCCTAACAAACATGTAGTCAATGAAGGAGCGTCGCACCGGCTTGCACCCCTCATGAATGTAAGTGTAGCTGTTCTTCCTGCCAAATGAGTTGACTGCAAGCAATGAGAAGTCCTGCACAATCGCCACGAGGTCCTCCATATCCGGTGAAGGCGTCGTCGGTGTAAGCATGCCCGGACCTGTGTGAGATTTCAAGGTGTTCAGAGTGCAGTTGTAGTCACCTGCAGACACAAGAGTGCTGCCTTGTGGTATGTGTCCATATGTCTGCCGAAGGGATGTCCACAATGTAGCACGTTTCCGCAGGATCTCAGCTTGGTCACCGCTTTGTCCAAGTGCATATTGATACATATTGACAGCGTGAAAGTTTAAACCCTTATACCAGTATACTTCTTATAATCACGGCGCGAGCTTCGGAATCTTTTCTCACTCTAAGCTCCACTGTTGGGCCGTGCTTGAGCCTCGGTTTGACCTGCGGTGAAACACTGGATTCCTGTGTATTTCTGTACTAGGGGAAAATTGAACTCTTTGTTACGCCCTCATCGCATACACAGCTTTGTCGTGTAATGCGATCATTGTGAAACTTTTCCTACATCCACCACGGTTTTCGCATGCTCTTGTGAGCTTTAATCTTCACTTCTCACACGCTTCTCTTTTGAGCATTTTAACCGCTTTCCAACTTCTTCTTCTTTCCTTCTTCGGCTTTGTGGATGTCCTAGAAATCGATTGCATGAAATTCCACACTCTGCTGGCATGGCTTCCACTGTCCTATTGAAACCTATTGCGCGCTCACTTTTTCTCCATCTCGCGGTACACGAGGTAGGCCGTTCGGCATAACTCCTTAAAAGTCTTTGCAAAAGAACTTTGGCCTTTTGAGCCTTTTGTTTTGGCTCTTTCAGCCTTTTCTTTAAACACGCTCGTTGTGCTTTGTCGTATGCCCTGGGACCATTACTCAGTCCTCCTGGCTGTTGTTGTGGACTAACCACACTTTCCGCAAGCTTCTTGGACTTTACCGGTTTTGTGAAACTTCCTTCTCTTCTCACAGGCTTTTCAGCGGTGTAAGACGAAAAACTACGGCCTTGTTTATACACCTGCCTTTACGGTGTTTCCGTTGCCCTGGGCGGCTTTCCGCCCTCACTCCATTTGGTTCTTTAAACCTTAATACCCCAAGGGCCCTTGGGTCCATTCTTCAGTAGAATCAGTGTCCCCTGGGTTGGGGTCTTCCGCCACGCCGACGGATACTTGGTCCTTCTTGAATCTCTTCTTGGTGATCTTGCATCAACGCTGGTGTCATCTCTGTGCTTCTTTGTTGAGAACCAGCAACGAAAGCATCAAACGTCATTTGTGCTTCTTCGCTTAACACTTGTTGACCCATGACTTCAAGTGCACTTCGTCTTTGGGCCAAAGTCATTTGGTTCCATTCTTCTTCACTAAGTTCTTCTGGCCTTTGAGTTCCGCCTGTAGTCGCTTGTTGGCTCCATTCTTCATCCTCTTCCGTGTACCATTCTTCATCGACATCGTACCATGCTCTCCAACTTGCTTCTGCATGGTCCCGGATGCAGTCCGTACAGGAGCAGTTAACGTGGCTTTGCTTGACCCTACTACACAAGCCTTCTTCACACCATATGCAGGGCCTTCCACAGAGTCTTCCAACGAACGTCCTCACTTCTTGAGTCCTCCTAGCTGGCCTATCTTGTGGGTGACATCTCCAGCAGGATCTAAGTCCTCTGCTTAGCGCTTCATTGACGCTCATTGCTTCCGTCTCCGGTGGTTCAGCCCACCACATACATGTCTTCTTGTGGTAAACTTTTCTATTCGGGTACACATAAACCTTTTCTCCATTCTTGCCTTGTACCCTGTTACTGCACCACTTCACCATGATGTACGTCAGCTTAACCGCTTGCTGAATGAGGAAACATGTCCCCACCAGACTCAGTACAATCATCATAATATCTTCCATTTCTTCTCTTGTGCTCTTTCTGTCACTTTGATCTTCTCGGTCAAGTCCTTGCTTCCCTTCTTGGGCAAAATGGTTGTGGTACTTCCATGTATGCACACACTCAATGCTAGAGCAATCAACCAATTTGTGCATGTGTAAGCTCCTGTAATCTTCTTGTCATCTTTGATCTTCCCTTTCTTAACTTCTTCAGTTAACTGATTGAGCTCTTCCAACCTTTGGTCCATCAGCTTGCCTTGCTTCATAATTCCTATCCTGACTTCTTCTGGCAAGACGACCTTCTCTGAAGCTAGGGCTTCAACATTTTCCTTCTTCGCAATCTCGAGCTCCTTTTGCTCTCTTTTCAGCTCTTTGGCTGTCTTCTTGAAGCTTTCCATATCTTCATCTTCTTTTCTTTCTTTGCCTTTCTTCGCCTTGTCATCTTCATCATGTTCTTCCGACTCACTTCCTTCTTCTTCATCGGATTCTGGATCAGACGCAGCTTCACTTTCTTCTTTCTTCTTTGGCTGCTCTTCTTCCTTTTCTACCTCTTCGTCTGTAGCTTTGTCTTCACGCTCCTCGTTCAACTTCTCTACCAGCTTCCAGACATCATCCACTGAGGGTCTGTCTTCTCTCCTCTGCTTTAGAAGACGATTTATGTACTCCACCGACTTGATACTTCTGCACTTGTCGGCCATCACAATCTTTAATCCATCATCATCAGCCATTGCTCTGCTTTTTTCTTCTCTTTCAAAGAAACTCTTCTTGAAACTCTTGAGCAAAACGGCTTCGGTAGTAATCCTTTGCATTACCACTGTCGTACATATGCAGGTACACAACATAACTGCAATCATGCACATCACTACGCTTGCTCTTCCCAGTCCTTGTTCATCTTCTTCACCAACTTTTCTTGCTTCAGTCAACGATAGCAACACTCCTATCATGACCGTCTGGATGATCCTTGTAATCACCTTTTCATCAAGTCTTGTGACGCTTCTTGATCTTCGAACTTCAGCTTCTTCTTGGACTTCTTGAGCATCTTGTGTCAAATACTCACCTGTATATCCTAGACTTAGCATGTACTTGCGTATTTTCTCCCTCGTCAGGGATTTTGTCCCTAAGTCTGACGGATTGTCCTTTCCTGCTATCGCGCCTTTATGGTAAGCTGGTAAGCTTCGGGATTCTTTGGATCCATAATAGGTTCACATCTAAATGACGTGCCTTGCCTAAACCTTTTCTTGCGATCAATTGCCTTGAGCTTGACGAATCGCTGTATAACACCAGTCTTGGTTCCACTCCTAGGATTCTTTTCAGCAATCCTTTCAGGAATACTCCTTCAGACAAGATTGATGTCGCTGCGATTGTCTCGGCTTCGCAGGATGATAATGCTACACTCTTTTGTCTCTTGCTTTGGAAATGAACCAGATTTCCATTCACCATTATCACTCCGCATGATACGCTTTGCCTTGACTCTCGATCTGCTGCCCAGTCACTGTCGCTTATCACCTCTACCAATGCTGGCACTTTGTAGTTATCTCTTTCGACTTTTCCTTCGTCGCTTCTGTTCTTCACTTCTGAGAAACTCTTTCCAGGATAGCTTCCCTGGTGTACCAACGTAAGTTCAGGTGCTCCCTTCAGATACTTTCCAACGTACCTTAGCAGTTCCATGTCTGCTTCAACGGGTGATGCGAGCTTTGTTGACAGCTTCTTCAGGACATACATAATATCTGGCCTCTCGGGCGCAAGATACAGTAATATCCCTACTCCTTTTCTGTATGTGTGGTGATCTTCCGCGCTCAGCGGTTCCATTCCACCTTTCTTTGCTTGAAACGCTCTTCCATTGTCTGCTGGACACGGTAGTTTCTTCGGATATGATCCTTCCAGTTTCAGCACTTCTACCAGTCCTTCAACATACTTCGAATTCATCGTGAGCTCCACGTCTCCATTGTTCATCGACTTGAAACTTCGCTCCAGGAAACTCATCGATCCTTCTTTTTCATCGAGTGGTCCTTCAACTTTGATCTTCAATCCTTTGCTTCTCAGGAATTCAACCAATTTCTTGAACTCTTCTCTTGATGCATACAGTTCCATGTCATCTACATGACTCAATACAATAACTCCGAATCCTTCTTCATCTGGCATCCTTGAGAATAGTTCCGGGAGAACCTTTCAACTTTCCACACCACGCTGCACTCCCGATTCGCTGACCGGGTAACGTGTATCCCAGTTCGTAGAACTGTGGTATTCTCCATCGACTCCAACGATTGTTGGTTCTTCTTGCTCAACCATCAAGTAAGCATCTCCAACATCGATACTTCCAAGTGTATATCCTTCTGAAGACGCAAATTTTAACTGACAGTAGCTTCACTGTGCTTGCTACAATGTCAGTATCACCTAACCATTTGAACTCTCTCGCTACCAGTCTTCCTCGTCTTCTCCACTCTTTGTCTCCCAGTCGTACACTATCTTCGTCGATAGAAACTTGTACTTTGAGATGTCTGCTCCCTTTGGCAACTTGTTCAGCACTTTCATCTTCTCCAGTCTTTCCAACTCATGCTTCTTGGACAGACCTTTAACCTTTTCCATTTCTTCATCAGCTAACTTTGGTGTCCGCTTTCAAAGTCGTTTGACATGGCATGTCTTCTGGTATCTCTTCTTCACCATCTGACTCTTGCCACTCTTCCTCTTCATCAAATTCTGCTTCCACTTCTTCAAACTCTTCCAATTCAATTTCTTCATCATCATGATACTTTGGAAGTTCCTTTCTCAGGAATGGTTCCATTTTCTTCACACTCCTTGCATCAATCACTCTTCTCACTGAACTTGATGCTTCACCGACGGCAATAAACGTCTCTAGTCTCTCTTCAACTTCCGTTCCTTCACCAATTCTCTGCCTTAACCGCCTCTGGCTCGCCTTTTCTTCCTCGAGCGCACTGAGTCGCGGCCACCGAAACAGCAAGTCTGAAGGGCCGGGAACAGTGGCAGTCCAGCAAATCCGGCAGGCTTCCCTGAGCCAGGCCTGGGAGGAAAAAGCCTTGACACCAGCCTACACCCACAGTCGTGTCAGGACCTACGCCGTCACTCGGAAGGTCTCAGGAGGGCAAGCCCGCCTATGCCTCCCTCCTTGGAGCTGCAAAGAAATGGTGGGGCTCACTGTGTTGTTGCTCAACTCCACAGCCTCGGTTTGTTCTGCTCACCTTTTACGAGCAGGCGACGGGTGGCGAAACAGGGTCTGCTC